ATTGCTGTTTTATAGATATTTAAGTGATTTTGTTACATAGTTACTGAGCCATTTATTTTAGCAAGAATTTTGGCCAGGCTACAAAATCACTAGCTTGTGATACTTATAGCACCCCAACAGTTTGTAGCTGTATAGAGATGCACTGTTACCCCCAAACGTAGCTCTATGATCATCCACAACCTGTCCTAGAAAGAGAAAGAATTGTAGCTGTTACCAATTACATTTCTATAAGACCTTGACTGGTGTAATATACAAAGTCACATGAATACCTTTCAGGTCTGAGATTTTCTTTCAAATACCCCTAATGGTAAAATAAAGCTATATTAATTGTTTCATTGGGATGGTATAATAAATATAGACAGAAAGACAGAGATAGCTTTTCTAAAGTAAATGTGCCCCCACTCTCATCTAATAAAATCTTTCCTGATAGAAACACCTTTGCTGACCTGGTTTTACAAAATTCTAGTTACTTGGTTATTATGGAGGCCTACTGGATTCAATACTATCTGTTTCATTGACCTGCAACATGTTTGCCAAATAGAAAAGTCAGAGGCTATATTTGCATACTTAATCCAGGCCAGTGACTCAAAATATTGAAGCAAGAAATCAGCATTATAGATGGCATTAGCAGAAAGTGAAATCAGTAAGGCCATTCCCCTTTCAAGAAAATTTGCTTTCAGTGCTATCCACAGGTCTTTAAACCTAGATCCCTAATCATGTGATCTCTATGTAATCTCTACATTATTAGAGATCACTTACCCAGGTTCCAAGACTTTCAGATATGTAGCCCGCACTGAAGGGAGGCCTGTACACATTTTTTAAAGGAAAGATAAGTATTTCATGCCTTCTAATATTCTTTATTTATCCATCCCAGCAAGACTGTTGGCATAGCTTTATGCTAACATTGGAGTATAGGTCTGCTATTCTTGCTATATTAGATGGGAAGTCAATTGGAAACAATTGGAAACATTGTAGTTGACTGAAGGGTTGAGGTGAAGCTCTGCTGACTTCCGTCAACCAGTCACATGTAAGCAAAAATTTAGTTTTTTTTTTAATTCACATAGCACGTGACTAGATATGGTTTGCAAAGTGAAATGTCATAACATTCATTAAGCTCTAATGCAATTTCCCTTGAAAAGTACAACTTCTTCCTAGTTTTCGTGTCTGAAGGTCCTCTGTTTATGAAGACAGCATAAGATGGTCTGTAGGGTCCATTGTCTTTCTGATACTTAGAAGAAACTGACAATGTAACAAATATCAACATAGGCTTAGAATGCAATTCTAAGAAATCTTTTTTTTTGTAGGGAAAATGCCTCAGAGGTCCAACCGAAATCTAGGCCCTGAGAGAACGGTCTTTGCCACATCCCGTAATACTGCCATTTTCCAGTTTTTAAGTATCATTGTAATTTACTTTACAAGAGTGTACAATTAAACCTATTTCACTTCACTCTTGGTACAATATTGAAGACAGCTGGACCAGCAAATTGCATCCAGTTACTTTATATTCCCTATCTTGTTTTTCGTTATTTTCTCTCTCACTGAACCTGTATTACAGTCCAAGTCTTTTAACTTCTCACCACAAATCATTTCTTTTTCTTTTGACAGAATTGCTCTTTGAATAGCATAAAGGGAAAACATTTTTGAAAGTTTTTTTTTTAATTCCACCCCAAAGAATCCAGCTGAAGTGCTGACTCTTTGATGATAACCATATTTTGGTTGAATGCAGAAAAGGTTAATGAACGGCTGATCTCTCCTCAGCTCCCCCCACCAACAGTTTGCTCAGTTGCAAGGCTCTGAGAATTGTGTGCTGATCAGTGTGACGGCATCTGGGTCTCATTAAGCATTGCAGTATAAATGTAATTACCCCACTGGCACACACAACCCACGTGTGCTGCGTCTTCGCTGTAGAGCATAATCTAGGGGGAAAGAGTTGCAAAATAACAACATGTCACATCATCTAAACAAGTTATAGGAAACCCTGTCCTTGCTGGAAATGTTTACTGTTAAAGGGCTGTCAAAGGACATAGCAGTACTTAAATCTGTTTTGTTGTAGGATAATCAACGATATAAAGTTTAAATGCTTCCTTTCGAATTTCGCCCTTAGAAATTATAGTGATACAGTTGCCATAGATGACTAATTTTAAAGAAGTTAGGAACAGTATTTGATGGGTAAGTTAGGTTGTGGTCATACATCAACAGAATCAGTTTCTGTAGACTCCATGGTTAAAAGACCATTAGATCTCATGTACACAGTCATTTGTGTTTCAACTGATTTGCTTCCACGTATAAGTCAAAGGTAATGCAAAAGGAACTTAAAGCAACTCAGAAGCAGCTCAAATCCACATGTTGCACAATCGAAAGGCATTCTGAAGCAACAAATATACCTAAAACTTACGGCATTTGTCTGACTTCTGCAACTGATACCCATGTACAAAAGTCTTTATATGCTTGATGGACAACTAAATGTTCGTGCATATTGTATAAAAAAGAATATACAGTATATTAAGTCTTCCTCATGACAATGTACTTGTACCTAGGGATTCACTGAATTTGCAAGTCTGTGTTGCCAGTCATTTTTGAATACCAAAGGAACTTAGTGAATATACCAAGTATAAGGTATTAAGTAATAACTGACAGATTAGCCTGTCATTAGCTACATCTGGTCAGTCTCGTTATTGCAAATAGGAATACAAAGAGCGTCCTCTGCACTCTCCCACTAGAAACCACCCCTTTGCTTTTATTTAGATAGCACCTCGATTATCAAGTGACCAGGGCACTTCCTGTTACTTTCTGATCTGTTTACAACTGAAGCATGTGTAGAGTCTGTAAATTGTCAGTATTGAACAGACTGACAGTAGAAAGCATCACAGTTCAAAATGTACTTTAGGTTTGGCCTGTCCAAAATTTAGCATTATACATCCTTGGCAAGGATATTATTAGAAAAAAAGGAGCTTTGGTGCAATTACCTCTCAGCAGTTTGTTCTCTACAAAAGGGTGACTGAAAAAAATGTCAATATGATTCTTATCCTACATAGTGTATGTACTTGTCTACTTTTATTTGGAGAAGAGAAGTTGGCAGTAAATGTGCTAATTAATCACATATTTCTTCCTACCATGACAAAAGAACTCAGATCATTGTTATACTGAACTTCAGGTAAGTGTAAATAAATCACAGTACCCAAATCTAGTTTTATATTATGTTCCTATAACTCTCTGAACAGCTTAGCTCAGACTGGATGAGGACAAGAGGCCAGAGTAAGCAGAGTGATGGCTGCTCTTCCATTGTCCATTCATAGACTGGGGGAAATCACACACAAAAAAAACAAAACTCTTTCCATACTTTGCGGGAACATATACTGGCCTTGTGAGCTCATTCCTATTAACTTTTTTTATTGACCAGGTTGGTAAAACCCTGGCCAAGTGGCAACCCTAATACTGGATTGGATGCATAGATTTATAAATCATTTGGCAGGTAAAAGAGTTCACATATATGTAAAGGGTATGTGTTTATCTATTTACCTGGAGTTTAGATTTAGTTGCAAGTCAAATTATAATAGATAATACATTTGATCATTCTAGAACAGGATATATGCTCTATTGTAAACTCTATACATTTTGTGACCCTATTCGACACCCAAAACCATTTGCCATTGACAATATGTGCACTAGGCAAAAAACAGTGCACTAAGTTAGAAAAGTCACATATATCAAGGAGACTGCAAGTATTAATGGGATTTATATATATTGCATAGTTGGAGAATTAATTATATCCTTTGAAAACTGAATATGCTGGAGATGGAAAGTTTTTATACCATTTTTTTCACAACATAGGAGGAGTGATTTATACAAACAGCTGGCATGATGTTTAGAAAAGTAGTATAAGTGGTTGCTAGTTAAATTTTGGGTGCAATACAGTCCTTTAGTATGATTGCTCTAATTTAAAAGTGTTCATATTATTAATATTTGTATCCTGTTTTTGCCAAGAATTTGCATAACTCTACATGCACACCTAATTATAACAATCACCAAGCACAGTGGGTCACAGATATACATTCCAGTAGGGGAATGGACATCAGGTTATTGCCTTTATCATTTGTCAACAAGTCGCTTCTCCTTTTGAATTGTGTAATTTGTATTTTTTTTATACAGCTCACTATGTGAAAGTCCACACTTCTTTATACTTAGTACTAAGTGAGGATTAGAATGAAGAAAACACATTTACAACACTGATCATTGTGTCAATATACATATCCTCTAATTAGAAAACTCAAAGTTGTATCAATTTATGAACACCATTCAATCATAAAACATGAGCCACACTATTAAAACCACATTATTTTAATTAGGCAACCTCTGCTGAGCTTCACTATTGCTGAATATCTGTCTGGAGAAAATATAGTTCCCAAATGTTTGCTGTTCACAATACAGTTAAGTAATGAATACACATGTTCAAAGAGCCACAAGTTGGAAACTATTGATTTAGATTTACATTTAAAAAGAACTCTTTAATCTGTATTGAAGAATAGTACACCAACTACAGTTGCACTGTGCATTATATTTTACAGTATATTACACTGATTTTTGTCCTGTGTAGCCAGTAAAAGGAGCTGTGAGTACAAATATGTATTGTGCCCAATTCTTGGTGATAGACTGCTCTAGGCTTCTCCTGAATTGCTTGAATGTACGCAGGAAGTCCTGTTCATTTTGCTATGTGGCTCATTGCCTCTTTGGCAATAGAATTACAGTTAAACCCCTTTAGAGATGAAGCGACCAATGTGATAAATTTACAATGCCATGACTACCATGCAGTGCAACGCAAAAGGACACTAGCCAGCTGATGATGAAGTGTTTGCTAAGTACTATGTCTCTTTGCTTTGCACTGCATGATAGGCATGTCATAAAACATATATTATCTGTACACACAGTCTTAAATAAACTCTTTAAATAAGGAAATACAAAATTTACAAATTTACAAGACACCAGCTCCACATAAAAGTCTACTATCTACACCCACATTCTGACACTACCATGCCCTCATATTTGAACTTGTAAGTGACTACTCCTGCATCAAGATACAGTATGGATATAGGATCCAGTTTTGTTGCAACACAACAAGCTTTGGATGCTTTCTGAGAGTTCTTCATGTGGATCAGAGTTTGCACAATTGCATGTTTTGTGGGTGTAACATTTTCAGTTAAGGGGTATGAGCAGACCCCTCGGCATTCATAGGCTTCATATCCTGCTGGTGCAATGATCCACGAGTCCCATCCAATTTCCTTAAAGTCAATGTAGAGTGAGGTCTTCCTGCAGGTATTACCTTTTGCATTTCTTCGAATGCGGGAACTGGCATCATAAATAATGTTAGACCTCATCTGCAACAAAGACTCCTCGCTAGGCATGTTACCTATGCCACCAAATTCTCCATTCTCTTGGTCTAAAGCTTGCTCATGATTGATCATGTCATTCAGTTCCTCCTTTTCTTCCTTCTTTTCACTACTCTGATCATCTGAAAAAACCACAAGCAATGGCTCATGTTTACTTTCCGGTTTCACATCTATGTCCAGTTTACCTTCTCCAGCATCTTCTAGGTCAATGTCTGGATTTTGTAAGTGTACTTCCAGCATTCGAGTTGTAAATTCTGACCTGCTCCAACGTCGGACAACCTCAGTAATATCAAGCATCTCCCATGCACTGCTTGCTTTGTAAACCAGTCTAGAGGCCAGTTCCACATCATTCCTTGTGCCCTCTTCACCCCCATGTATCTCATAAATAGTGACTTTTGTGCCCACTCCATCATATGGAACCCTGTCTCTTGGGACCAGTATGTAAAGCTTAAGCTCAGCCATTACTATTGCTTCATGGTGAGGGATAGATACGTTGAAAAGTAAAGGGTATTTTTTCACTTCTGGGACATCACTGTATGGCATAGACAGATCTAATAAAGAAACAAATAACATTAGAATGAAGAAGTATACAAATACAATCAGTTCATATTCTAAGTTCATCATATAACAATCTTAAACCTGGTCAGTAATAACTTTTTTTCTCACTCTGTTTTTTGTTCATAGTTCAATATACCATAATAAATAAAGAGGATATGCAAATGCTACCAATGTTTTGTTTAGGAATTTCTAAAAACAGTCACTTTAGTCAGAGACAGATCATCCACAAGGTAATCTAGGCAAAAGCTTAGTGCCCAATGGATGCCCTGGGAGCCCATCTACAACTTTCATGCTCCTGCATCAAACTAGGGAGAATAAAAATTGATCAAAGCTGCACATGACACTTCACTAGGAAGGATGCATTCCTAGGCAGTTGGTCTCTGACAATGCAAATGGGCAGATTCTTTGTGCCTATATTAATCATTATGAATGAAAATTGAAGGAATAGGAGTCCTAAGTATCTACAATGCCTAAGGCCAAAGTCTGCCTTAATCCACCTCTACTTTGAGAGCAGGGGCGGACTGACAACTCATGGGGCCCCTGGGTAATAGGGGATCATGGGGCCCCTGTGTCCTTGCCCAAACTCAAGAAAGCCTATGAAAAAGGTACCAGGGGCATCTCATGGGGCCCCTTACTGACCCAGGGCCCACGGGCGGTGCCCGAGTTTCCAAATGGTCAGTCCGCCCCTGTTTGAGAGTATATTTTATTAGAAATACAATGAAGGTTGAGGATGATTTTTGATAACAGGATTGTTCTGTAAAATTAAAGACTAGTTTAAAGTACAGCGTAATACAGTGAAAGTGCAAGATTTGAATATGGAAATGACAGATCTATTTAAGCAGCTGCAAGTTGCTTAGTCTAAACACTGGCAACAGAATTTTGCTATTTTTTCTGAATTCCTAGAGTATTTCCAAGTTTTTATGATTTGACCCTTGTTTCACAAAAGCAGGCAATTGCAGTATAAATGGCATATTGTACTTCCTCACAATAAATGAAATTCATATCAGCTATAAATGTTTACTTTGGTTTTAGGTTACAAAAATATGTAGGTTTCCCCCTTCCCAGCAGCAATTACTGTTTCCAAAGTAGCAATGTTGGTGCATTTGGATTGGCTCAGAGCTAAAATTTAGGGTCGGGGAGAGAGTCCCCACCTTTGGTGCATACACAGCGCCATCTTTCCTTACTTCTGATAAGCACACCAGGTGAAAAGAGAGTTAGTACTGTATGTAATGCTTGGACGTGGGATGTTCAGTGCCCCTGTTTTGTTCTCTGCATGAGCAAACTGAAGAGTTACTTAAAGGTAAACAGTGCTATAATTGGAAATACTCAATACTTTCCTGGTAACATTTCATAATGAAGGATCTAGAATGTAATGTAAGAAAAAAAACTATATATCAATAAACATATCATTACTGAGTATATTGTTTCACTGTTGACATGGGCATTATAAAGGTAGATACACAGGTCAATGGGCGCATTAAGCCATACAGAGCAAACTGTGGGCTTATCTCCTTGCCCTGGACAAACAGTTGCCATGTATAGTTGTCCACTGTAATGAATGGCACCATGCTGGTATGTGCCATGCTTGCATAAACACACGTCAGTGCATGAATACCTGGATGTTGTTTGATTCCAAGGATTTATGTGTAAACAGCATGGAAAATGTGTAAACAGCACGGAAAAGCATATATGATTGCCCTGAATACAAGATGCATATTCAAGCAACAAATTGGACACGCTATGATAAGGTACATTACCTAACATGTTGATCATTGTTTTACAATACTGCTGCGTTTCTATTAATCATAACTATAAACTTGTGCTTCATACAAAATAATAAAGTGCTATACATTACTAATGTTTTACCTAACAGTCCTGTATTCCCTCCCAGCATTGCCCTTCACCCAGCACTTCCTAGCTTTTGCTAAGAGCAGGTGCCCTGAAATAGCCCATCTGAAGAGCAAGGTCTGCTTAGCGTCTGTTCACACTGCCCCAGCCCAGCCCCGTGCTGATAGCACCTTTCCTGCCTGGGAACTTGTGCGCTCTACATTCGCACACTTGTTTGAAGTGGGAGAATATATGTATTGGCAACATATGGTGCTTTGGTTTCAACTGAACCATCTGCAGCATTGACAGAGTGCCACATATTATGCACTGATGAAACTCCTAGCTAACAACGTAATTTTTGGATTTCTAAATCTTACTCTTATTGTCCAGATAATCTAGAACAGTTACACATATGTTATATATTATTTAGAGCATAGGTTCTCAAACCTGTCCTCACCAAAATTGCATGGCTTATAGTTCTCTTCATGATGCACAGGAAAAATAGCTATTTAGTTCAATCAGCAATCAATCCACCTGTTTCTCTTAGAGGAAAAAACAAAATACAGTATACTATTGCCCATCTTGGGAGTCAGCTTGAACAACCATGATTTAAATGGCACCCTATAGATGATAAATTCTGAGGGTGACCATCTTGGGTGAGAGAAGCTTAATGTTTGTAACAGAGTGCCAATTTATTCACCATGCTCAGTTTCACTGCCTCCCTCCATCAGCAGCTTGGAGAGGCCTACCCTGATAAAGCAGAGGTAGTTGGGCAAGTGATTTGCACCCAGGTGAGAAGCCTTCCACTGTAAGAACCAGTGTTCGAGCAGCCAAGCTGGAACTTAATAGCATAAAAGGCCCAACTACTGCAGGGAATCCCTTTGTGACTGTTACCAGAGTACTCTAGTTCAAGTTGGGTGGCACTTCATACTTGGGCCTTGGTTCCCTCCCGTTTATTCCCCTGTACTTCTAGAGCTACCCTGGTCTTCACTATGAGGGATACTGTCTATGTGAATAATTGCAAGTAGCTGTGTTCTGTTTCACTAGAGTAATGATTTTCAGCTAGGCTTTCTGTTATCTCTGAGTCTTACAGGCACTATACTATACAGCCACATGTTACCCTGACTGAGCCACAGAATTTGTAAAGATTCTATGTCTGTGCAGCTTTCATATGTGTGTTCAGCTTGATTTTGAAATAGGATGTCTAACAGAGTATACAGGGTGAACAACGTAGGTGTGATGGTCAAGTGTCCATAACTTTTTGCCATATAGTGTACAAAATAAATGTTGAAATCTAACTCCAGCCAACATGATTAATTTCTGTTTGCATAGTTAGGGTAGGAGTTAGACCCTTTCTCAGGATTTTATTACTATTCTTGTTCCTGTTGAAGAGTTTTCTCTCCAGTTCCTGCCAGAAGGAAATGCTGGGAAATCATTAACTGGGACACCAACAAAGCAAGGGTAATATTTTGACAGTATTTTTATTGCTAATAATGCTTCCCTGTCCAGTTGGTGCCATCACACATCCAATTTCTTCTGCAAGTATTGGGCAGGAAAATGTTCCCACAGGCAGAAAATAACCTGAAATTTAAACGTTTGTCTACTCTATCCAAAACTTAGAAAAAAAAAAACCTTTTTGACTGGAGTTAGGCTTTTTAAGGATAACTATACTTTTGTGTAAATATCCTTTAAGCTAACTCCTGAGCTCCCCTTTTTATTGACCTTTCCACACTCATGCGAGATCCATACTAGTGTATGCAGTCTATAGGGAGCCGCGCAGCCACCGCTCAAACTCACGGATTGATCCCTTGCTTCTTCTGTGCATGTATTTTAAAAAACCCAGTTATTGCTAATGGGACTAGTGTGCCTCACAACAGGAATCTATACAACTTTATTCTGCAAATGTGTAGAAGAAGCAAGAGCCCAATTAGAGAGTTTGCAGCACTGGCTATGCAGCTTCCCATGGGACCTACAGCATGTATCTAGAAGGAACTTTGAACATGGACAGGTGTGTGTGAGACTGTGTAGGGGAGAGGGGGATAAACTGGGATGGGGGTAATATAAAGGATAACGATACAAAAGTTTAGTTATCCTTTAAATGAAGCTGGGGCACAGAATTGAATACACTTATGTATAATAGGTGATGTTACCTTTTGCATGTAAGTATACAAACAGTGTATAAACTTTGTGTCATGCTGGTACTAATAGAAAACAAGTGATTTTCAGGCAGTGTTTACTGGTGACGTGAAAGGAAGGTTCTCAGGTGATAGGACTACCTTCATGTATTCCCATAATTAACGTGCTTACGAAGCATACAAACATTAACTAAAGTACACTGAATGACTAACAAGGTATTAATTACAGTCCAGCTAGAGGCTGAATGTAGAGGGGCCCTGGTGTGGTAATTGTTTGCTTATTCCCAGGCTCTGTCACAGTCCAATGCTATCCATCTAAACAGAAGGGCAGGACTTCATAGCAGGATCATGTCTACATGTGATCTTGAGTTTTCAGCTGCTGTATGAGCATTGTGGATCAGCACTGATTACTAAAGGTGAAAGGCTGGGTGGAAATCAAAATGTTACCATTTATATTTCATTTAGTGGGACCATGATGATTAAGAGATGATAAACATACAGTATATGGCTTCAGATCAGAGTTAGCAAATAAGGTGAGTGAAAGGTTTCTGTTTTTGGTCTAAAAGGTCTTAATGAGAAAACGTTATCTTTTCCTTGAAGCAGAAATCCGGGAAAACATTTTTTTTTGCCCGTTTAGTGGGGCTGTGCTGGCACTGCACAGTTAAATGCTCGTTTTGTACTAGGGGAGAGGACACCGAAGATATACTCACCTGACTCAGAGATCCTCCCCGCACAAGACCAGTCCTTTCGGCTTCTGCCCCCATGGTCGAGCAGTCTTGTAAATGGACTGTTCTTGAAAAATAGTTTTTTTGTTGTTAAATGTTTAAGTGGAACTAACTTCCCTATCCTTTTCAGCCAAGGAAGCTGCCATCTTAGCATCTGTTTGATCTGCAGTTGCCATGATGCTGCACATGGTCAGTTATGACACAAGCCATTCAATGGCTTGACATTTCGGTTAAGAGCAGAAGCAACTGTAACTGTTATCTTTCACAGCATGCCTTAAAGGCTAGGTTCACCTTTTATAAAAAAAA